TCAGTGTCACAGCAAGAAGCAGAAGGAGAAGCATTTAGAAGTATAATTAGTGGCACTCATTAAATTCAGAAATGGACCGAGAAGGACTGTGGAGACTTCCCCAACTACCTCGCTCCTGCTGGCAAACAGTCTTCATAGTGCTAGAGAAGCCTCCTAACACCAGGCAAGGCATTTTCCAGCAGGGATTCACACAAATATTAATAACATGTTTCAGGATAGCAACCCCAAAGGCGGAGACTGACCTCCTGAGGCAGCTCCAGCTTGGAGCGGTCGGTTCCCTCCTTGGACTGCAGCCCCATCAGGTAGGGAACGGGAGCATCCAGAAAATGCAGGAGAGAGGCAGGAAGGATGGGGACGTACACGTGCTGCCACTGAAACGGGAACAGCAGTGTTGTGATCCCCTCCGCCACTGTCATCAGACGCTGATAATCTAGACAGGGAGAGAGAGAGACAGACATTGAATTATCTTTCTGTGTTTCACTTTTGAAATCTGGTTGGCAAGGTCATCAGTGACAAAACAAGGCAGAAACCATGTTTATATGGTAAGATGTTCTTTTGAAAATAAGACAATACTTAAAAACCTTAAACATTATTTGATTCGTCAAAACTCATTATCTCCAGGAAGAAACTACTAAGCATAAATATTCATATCTTATCTAGATCTATTCCATCATTAAATTCATTTATTAAAAAGGATACCAAAAGTTCTCTCTATAGTTCAGGATAATAATACTCTAATTCTATAAAAAGCATGTATTTTTACAAGGGAAAAGGAGGAGGAAGAAGTGAACTTCAAGGAAACATTGTGGTTTCTCACTTGCTCCTGCCTGCCTGCATCTGCTCCACTTGCTACTACTTCTAAGGTTGAGTGTACTTTCTAGAAGACTCGCCTTGGCTACACACCAGCAGAAGTTTACAGTCCCTAAGTATTTCAAAGCACTGCTTCTAAGTAAAATCCAAACAGAAGCCCAATAGAAATTTAGTTCTTAAAAATATTCTGTATAGCTAGCATATTTATATTGCATTATTTTCCCAAATTTATATTTAATCCACTAGTTCATTGCAAAGCAATGTTTTGGTTCAAGTAAACACATGGTGCATTATTTTTTAAATTAAAATCTAATTCGATCCAGCTGAGCTGCAAGAATATTTCAGAATTTGGATAAGAGCAAATTATTTCTCAAATATCCAGCTGCTATGATGCAGTACCACAACCTATTTATTAATATAAATCAGGGAATCCAGATTTGAGAACACAGTTTTTAAAAAAACAACGATTAAAAAAATCACACGTTGGCATTAAAGAGATGGTCATCCTTCCAGCGAATCTCAGACTGCAGACAATCCATCAGGAAACAGCTAGACCTCTGATTCTTGTAAGCTGCTGGTGAATGTGAAACTAGATGATTGCTTCTACTCCGTGTCACAGCAGCTTCTGCATTAATCACAACTCCCCCCAAATTTCTAAGGACATGAAAGTACTTAAACCCCAACTCCTTAAGAATCTTAATTTGTCATGAAGAAGCAGTGCATCTCATTTAACGGTAGTGGTTAAAGACAGGAACACCAAAGTGCAGGTTTGTAAGTGACTCTGAACTTGCAAGCGGTGCATGGCACAGACAAGAGGGGGAGTCAGTTCTGATTCCCGTCCCTGGCCCTCCGCCACTTGTGAAAGCTGCTCTTCGCTATTTGCAAAAGGAGTTGTTCCCCCCAGCTTCAGTGCACGGGTACATCGTCAGTAACCAGCAAGAGCGGCAGAAGGGATGTCTCCTCTACGGCTGTATCCAAAACCATTTCTCAGTGCCAGGCAAGTCTCACGAGCTTTGGCTTGAGCAACCAAAAGATGTTCACTCTCACCAAGGCCAGACCCAGACCCTTGGTAACACTTGGGTTGTTGCCCATCTCTCCTAGCCCCTCTGCCCCACTCCGTGAAATTAAAGCTACATGTATGAACACTTTGCTTTTAAGTCGCGTAAGAAGGCTTTTTTCCTATAGCCCCACTGACTGCTTTTGCCTGGATAGGAACCCAGCCTGGCCCTTCCCGTTTCGTGAACAAGCCAGCCTGACACCCTGGCAGACATCAGCAACAGCAAAAGCGCTGTCATCTGACACTGCTCAGCTATTAGGAGGTCACTGGGAAGATGCACTTGAATAAATATGCAAATTAAAACAACAAATTGCATAACCCATTCTCCTTCTTGCTAGCACCTCTCTGTGGAAAACCAGCCTTGATCCACAGAAGGTCAGCTGGCAGGACAAAAACATTTTTCATCTTGTCTTACCAATAGTTAGTCACTCAATCTTCAAAATGATTTTCATGCATACAAGTCAGTTTCAAGGTTGCACCTCAAAACCATTCCTAGCTACAGATTAGCCATTTATGAATCTCTCCCTATGCAATGGTCTGTAATTATACACGTCCAGTGGCTGTCTTGTTGAGGAGCTCTTATACAGAATCAACTTACAACATCTACTGGTGAAGCTTAGGCGTCTCATGACAATTCATAACTCTGAAAGCTTTAAAGGTTAAAAAAAAAAATCAAACACAGAAAGTAGCATGTCTTAGTATGCATGAGATGATTTCAAAGTCTGTTCTGATCTACATAGCCATGTGAAATAACAGGTCTTCACAGCAAAGTTGCAAATACCTTTTTGGGTAAGGGCATTCAACTCTGGAAATGTGTGCTCACTCTTCTTTGATGCTACTGATGATATCTAACATAGTCACTAGCACAAGTTTTGTAACCAACTCACTGTGAGGAAAGCTGTTTTTAAAAAAACTAGTGATGACCAAATTATTAGGCTATTTGTTACCATTTAGCAATGTTTGTTAGCAATTGGCAGAGATAAAAACAATTCTGTACCCAGCAGTTTTCACTGAAGAGAAGGAAGTTCCCAGGTTCCTCCAGAAAAATAATTTAAAATAAAACACCTCAAAATGGTTCTTTTGATATATGTTTAATGAAGTAAGAAACTCTAGTTACTTTGTATTTACTTTCAAGCCTGTACAAGGTTAGACACCTATCCTGTAAGGCATAAAGTCTTTTTCGATGAAGATATTCTTGTACCCATCAGCATCTGAGGGAAGCTTATGTGGTTACTGAGGAAAACCTGGAAACAAGGGACTCCTACATTTCCCCAAATCAGAGAGAGAAAAAGGGGCGGCAGAACAGAAAAAAAAGGAAGAAGGGAAAGAATGGAAGTGGATGGGAAAACCAGGGTTTGTATAGACTGTGTGTGCTTGTATCAAGGGGGACAGCGTTTCCAGATCCTATCCTACCATCACTACTGGACTTTGATAACAATCTCCAACTGCAAGCCAAGTTTTGCCTGTTATTTTATGAATGAGAGGCCCAGGTAGGAAAACTATTCTCTGATCCTACTCCAACCTTCAGATCTAGAATAGGGGATTAGATAGTATTCGCCAGGTTAGGAAGTGTCTTTTGAAAAAGTCCTGTTTGTTGAGCAGAGCGAGGACACAACAGTCCCGTTTCCCATCCATCTGATATCAAGAAACATCTGGAAAAGATACAAAAAGTGAAAACGCTGTCTGGGTGATATCCACAGAAGGCCGCAAACTCAGAGTGACAAATGGCTTAAATCAAGGCAATTTCCTGAGATGAGTGAAATAAATCCCTTCCTCTTCTCAGGGCTCGCCCACCTCATGCAGGGTCTGCCACGCTGAATGCAGTAAAAGGCCCTGTGATGCCAACAAGGCTACTACTGGCTGCTTTAAATGCATGAGCAGAAGGTCGCAGCCCACAGTGACGGCCCACAGCAACAGCTGCTGCCACCAGAGCAAAGAGTTGATCCGTGCAAAATCATCCCTGGGTACAGAAATAAGTAGTGGACAGTGGAGACCTAAGCTTGGGGCTTCCTCCCTTTCTCTTTGCTGCGCAGCCCGGGACAGTGGAGAAAGGACCCAGAAAGTCTGGAGACTTACTGAATGTCCCAAACACCAGATGTGTTTCTCTGCAGCGTGCAGATGGGCTTTTAGCTTTAAATTTCTCTTATCCTGGATCCCCTTTCCATCTGATTGCTCTACCTCTCTTACTTGCATTGCTATATCCCTCTCCTCCTTTCAGTTTTCATTTCTCTCCACTCCCAAAGTGACGATAGATTATATCACAGTATTTATTTTGCTTGGCAGCTATACCTGCATCCCTCGTCCTGCCTTCTTGGGACAGGGAACTATCTTGCCTTCTCCAGGACAGGCAACATCATCAAGCACAGCCCCTACAGCAAGTTCTTCGTGTTCAGAGTTAAATCTCTAATTTGTACACCGGACATTTTCCAAGAGAAACTGCTCAGGAAGGATAATCCCAAGGCAAAGTGGCCCTTATGGCTTCTATTGCAACTGCTGCCTCCTAACAACCGCTTAGCTGGATTTGGCACGGGTCTGCCTCTCACACTTAACCTTCTCCCTAAGTGAAGGAGAGGGCAACAGAGTCGAGTTCAAAGACTCTGGATCCAACCCCTTGTTCTGGCAGCATCTGCCAGGGGCCCTTGGCCAAGTCCCTGCATCTCACTTCCCTATGCAGGACAAGCAACCGCAGCGGGGACCCGCTCTGCCATGGGTCAGCAGTTCTGCTGCACAAGCGCCGTGTTTCAGCCACGCTTTACAAAGGCCTGGAAATATTCACATGGCTCGCAAGGTACAACGTAATGCTTAAAATGCAAGCCCTGAAAGACTCCTGTATAATTACGAATTTCTATTTTGTGCTAGAGATGGAAATGGTTTCAGCATTTGAACATTACCTCACTATAAATGTTTTTCTGAAAGAGGACAAGGTTTGACAAATATTTGTCTTGATGTTGGTTCTCCATAATACAATAACAGGACAATAACCAATCAGCACCATGTTACAACAGATACTGTGCATGCAGAAATATCTATCCCAAAGAGCTTAAAGTCCAAACACAGGCGGTGACTGAGAAAACAAAACAAAATAATCCTTCTCCTTTCATTTCACAGATTGGGTACAGAAGCTCTGAGATGTTAAGCAATTCACAAAGCTCAACATAAAAATTGCTTTTCCTGCTACAAAGGAGTCTGATATCTCAAAATCCTTCCCATGCTGCAGCAAAGCGAAACCAAGATCCTTTGAGAGGGGGAAGGGACATCAATGTTACCCCTGCCCAGAAGAGCTAAGACCTCCCTTGTTCAGGTGCTACCTCCAAAACAGGTTCAAATCTTTGGTCGTAATGAAACAGAAGAGAATTTCACCAGGGACCTTCTCAGCAAGTGCCCAACCACAGAATTTTTGAGTATAAGGCATGTGTAAGAGCACACACATGCTCATTCAAACCAGAAACGGCGTTCTTGCTGTGATCAGTGCAGTGTTATTCCAGTTTCAACACACCCAGCCTTCCTGATGAAAGAACAATTTGGCAGTTTTCCAACTCTCTGTTCCAGTAACCTACCAAAGG